CTGACACTATTAATTCTGGAATCTCATGCAATGGACAACCTCTCTTATAAAATAATGGTGATAGAAACAACAGTGTAGAGATGACATGGAGGTACAAAATTAGTTTGCTTGCTTGCTCATTCGGTCCACCACCACCAAGTTGATTGTAAATTCTTCTGACCGATATAAGCCTTTAATGAATTCCATCATCAACTCCTCCCATACCTTCTCTGGTAATGCTGGAGGTTGTAGCAACCCCTTAGGCGCTAACACCATGTTCTTATGCCATTGACACACATCACGCCTCGATACTATGCCCTCCACATTCTTTCTCCGATAGCGTTGCCGTGAAACTCCTATAATAATTCAACATGTGTTTTGAATTCTGGAGTAATGCATGGCATCCTTAACAAAATAAATGGTGTTCATTCAGTGAATAACACTAAAGCCGCTCGTATCTTGCTCAATTTGACATTTGACTCACTTTCTTGCCTCAAACTTCCTCTCAATCTAAAACTAAAGGAACTGGCAATGCCAGCAATTGAAGTTCCTCCATCCATCATGATGAAGTATCTGTGGTCTTATTCTCTAATCTCAAACGATACTAAATCTCAAAGTCATATCCAAATAGTTTAGAGAGCTACCTTTGATGTTCTTTAGTCATCATAAGTTGCTTTAACAAAAATTTAAGGTTGCTCTGATCCATGCATATTATAGAACACCGCGCAACAAATAAGATCGCTATTTTGAATGACAAACACAATTTCCATAAACTCCTGCTCGTAAAATGACTGGAGTCAGACTCTCGCTGTCAATTGAAATAAGCGATGGTTTGTTTACATTGCATGTGGAGTGCGCCTAACCCATTGCTTAAATCATCCATCTCTACAATGAATGATTGACTGAAATTAAGTAACGTAAGCACTGATACACTCATCACGACCTTTAACTTATCAAAAGCTTGGGTCGCTACTTCCCCCCATTGAAAGTAATCATTCTTCAACAGCCACACAATCGAATTGTCAACCTTCACGAACTTTTGATGGTATCCTATAAATCTTATAAATCCTCTCAACCCCTTCAAGGTTTTAGGTAGTGGTCAATCCAACATAGTCACCATCTTCAATGAATTCTCCGACACCCCTACAACCAACACTTACCCTAAGTACTCCACCTTGGTTGAGCAAACAAACACTTCTTTCAGTTAGCGTAGAGCTGGTGCTCACTTATTATCGTTAGCATCTTCTTCAAATGATCAAAGTGGTCTTCTAAGGCATGACCGTACACTAGGATATCATCAAAGAATACCAACACAAACTTTCAAAGGAAAGGTTGAATATTCATCAGTGATTGAAATGTAATTGGTGCGTTGGTGAACCCAAATTGTATTGCCAGAAATTTTAGAGACCCTTATGAGTTCGAATTTCAATCTTGTGCACATCCATCAGTTGCATCTGAATCTACTGATATCTTGACTTCAATTCAATCTTGGAGAATTCTGCAGCCCCAAATAATTCGTCAAGTAGCTTTTCGAATGCCGACATGAAAAGTTTCTCTGGTACTATTTTATTTTACACGGGCTAATAATCCATACTTAAAGGCCAACTTTCATCCTTCTTCACTAGCAAGACTGGGTTAGAGAAGGAGATTACACTAGACTGTATGATCTTGTTCTCCACATCTCCCAAATCATTCTCTCATTCTCATTCTTATATATCTGGAGTAGCGGTATGGGAGCACTCTGATGGGAGAAACCCCAAATCCGTGTGTCAACTGGAGAACTTTTACAAATTATTATAGGAGTTGTTGGATTGCTGTCAAAGCCTCTTCCATCTCCATATCATGCGCCTCTTTCATGCTATGCAACTCAATTAAAAATCCCAACCCTTCATTCTGTATTGCCCTAATAATGATCTTGCACAAACTAGGGTCATCGCGAAGCACCACCATCTTGCCTTGCTCCTTAAACTTCATTGTAAGAAGATTTTAATTCATTTTAGGGTTTATTTGAGACAGCTTTCTGTCTGCTTTGCTTTTCAGACCGCCACCATAGTTCTGTTTGGGGAACCGCTTTCTTGTTGCTTTTTAGAAATTTCTATGGTACAAAGTTGTTTTTTTCAATCTGAGCTGATAAAATGTGGTGGCTGCCAGGAAGATGCGGTTTGACTTTTTGAAAATAAAATAAAATTTTAATTGCCAACGTAATTTTTTTTGAAAAAAACTTTCTTCTCTAGTAGCTTTGCGGTTGTTTCTTCAAATTATTGCATTTGCCCGAAATAAACCCTTTGTCTCCTTTAAAAATTACAACAATTTCTTATCCAATATCACGCTGATGCTCCCTAAATCTAAGGGAAGAAATCCCCCATCACTTAAATACCTTACAATGTTAAAATCACCCATTTACAAACTACCCTGTTTTTTTTCATTTGTCCCGTCTCTATCATGACTCCAAAGTTTCTATGTCAACCATCTCAAGCCCTAATTGCTTCACTATTTGATTAGAGATGAAATTGTGGATGATCCCACTCTCTACCAACACCTCTACGTTCTGCTTATAGATTTTTCCCTGAAGTTTCATAGTGTGATTTGATATTATCCCCACTTGTGAGCTCAGCGAGACTTCTGTCACTTCTAAGGGCGTTCCTCCACCACAACCTATGCTTCTTTATCCCCTGCCTCATAATCACACACCGTGACAAGTTGCAAGGGCTGATTTTTGCAATAGTTTTATGGGATAAACTTTAATCATACTGAAAACATAGCCCTTGACTCGCTTCTCTTGAATCTCTCTCTTTATAAGGCTTTGAATGCCACTCTTAGTCATGGCCTATTAGTCTCGTCTCATGGAACCTCGCTCTGAAATCTAACTATTTGAGTTTTTTGTATTATCATCGCTGTAACATTTCAGCATGATGCTCCACCTGTGATGTTCTTATTAGCTTTGTTCCATTGCATTTTTATTTTCAACAAACTATGTTAATTCTATAGTATTTCCCGAGCATTGCAGTCTCAGTCGACGAAGCACTGTTTGAACTATTGGCCTTAATAGTTTAATGTAGTTTTCTTCCAACAGTTCTTTTGATATCCCTCTCAAACGGATGTATAACATTTCAAAATTTTCCTTATAATTGATGATGAATTCTTCGTGGATCAATGCAAAAAACTGCTCCTAGATACCCTTCCCACGCGGTTTTGAAACACTCCAACAATTTGTCCTTGAATTCTTCCTATGTTTTGATTAGTTAACGTAATTCTCTTCGTTGATATGATGCTAGATCCTCCCTTCCAAACATGAAGTCGCTATCATTAAGTTTTTTTCCTCCGCCTCCCCATTAACAACAAAGTTATGTCTCGACGCGATAAACCCAACCATTTGTATCATCTACTTCAAAGATTGACATTTTTTGCTTCCTTAGGCGGGAATTTCCTCGACCAAAGTTTGTTCCACCTATAAGGCGGGGTTTAGGTTCCCTTCGACCTATATTTATTTCCTTTCTTCTATAAGTCAGACTTGCCCCATAATTAGTTCGCACGTCCCCATAGGCTCCTAGATCGCTTTCTGCCCTAAAGGTTGGCACTACTAAAGGTATTGGTGCAATTGGATGCAAACCTTAGCCAGGTTCCCACTCACTGGGGTTCCCTGTTCCGCTAAAATACTTCTAATCGATCTTCTCCAGCCCTGAATCACATGCTTTCTCGTTCCGCCTACTACTGCTTGTTCTAGTCGCCTGAATGTCGTGCTTTCAAATGTCATGCTATTCTTTTCTAGTGTTGCCGCCCGAGTCCACTTCCAATTCCTTCGCTTGATCCAACGACTCCAGTGCTTTCTAAGACGACGATGTTTCTCTAATGCCACATGAATATTCTGGTTGCTCCAACTCTAGCCTGCTCCAGACATCGTCGCTTGATCTAGCGGTAGGTGCAGCGGTTTGTGTGAAACTCCATGATCTTTTTCACCATTTCTTTCAGGGCCGTGAATCCCCCCCTCCATGGATGAGAACCACCCCTTCATGGATGAGAAATGCCCCTCAGTTCCAAGTCTGATTTGGCTCACTTTTCCCTCTAATTTCCCTTCATGAGTATCTACTTTCTTTGCTACAATTACTTCTAGGACGGTTTTTGTTCACGAAGAACTCATGTACATCGCGATCCTATCGTTGGCTTCCCAATTTGCTTGAATCTTGATTGTGTCGCGAAGTTCAATCACAAAGGCAACACACATTCTTGTCGTTGGCCTCCCAACTAGCTCGAATCGCTACTGTACTTCGGTGTTCTTTTGCGAAGGCGCACAACTTGACAGAGGCAAGGCTGTCGCTAGGACAGGAGAGCCTCAATGATTTCAGAATGATGCGAGTTGGAGTAGTGGCCTCGAATGCAAACGAGAAAGATTTCTAGCAAGCTTGAATTCTCTATTACAAATTTGATAGAAGTGAAACAAGTTTTTTTGCAGGAATTAAGAGAAAAATAATAGATTTTACTTCTCCGATACCAAATCGAAACGATACAATCCAGAATACATAAAAGATAAACCTATCATTCGAGAGGTAGACAAATTTTCTTTTAAACTCTAACCCTAAGATTCAAGATAACAATCACATAAGATAAACCTAAATATATTAGGCCTATTTTTACCCTACAATTATAACTATCAAATGATTAAATTGCCCTTTTAGTGTTGCGCCTAACTTACGTCTTCAGCTTATTTGGCTGACTCGATGTTGACTTAGTGGAGCTCGAGACGGACGGCGCCGTAGGAGCCGGTATAACGAAATATATATGCAATGAAATTTGATATTTCTCTAGATTTTATTCTCAATGAAGTTCTTGAAACTTACCTTTCTTGTTCATTCTTTTTGTTTCACGTCGTTCTTTTGCTGCATAGCATACTCAGTTTTACAGCTTGAATATCAATACTTTTTAGTGTATTTTTGTGTTTTTCTTTCCAATTTTTTTCTGTTTTTAAGAACTCCATGCTTCTTATATGAGAAAATTTGCACTAACTTGACTTTTTTTTGTTGCAGATTTGAGAAAAATTTTTCCTTTTGAGCTTTTTCACCTTGGAGGGGATGAAGTCCATGAAGGTTAGTTTGGTTATATCGTCATTAAAAAAATATGAGTGCACAACTAGGTCCGGCGATGGCAACTACTGCTAGTGTGAGGGCTGCTGACTGATCTGGAGCAGCCTGTAATTCTAATGGTTATTCAAGTAGCTTCCACATGGTCCAACCATGGCATCCTTTAAGCTAAAGCATTATTTATTGCAGGAAAAAAAAAAAGAAGGCAACGAAGTTTGCTCACACGTTTAAAAATTTAACTAAACTAGATTCAACATCTAAAGCAGTTATGATCATAAATGAATGATATGATCATAAATGAATGACAAAGGATGATGCGACTATGTTTATATACTATATTTAATAGTTTAGCCTTCTCTGTCGCAGCGTTAACACCTAAAAAAAATATAACAAACAAGATAAAGCCTCCGAAAAAACCTTATACAATATTGGCACATTATAAGGTCGTCATTCTCTTACCACTAATAAATTGCTACTTTACTTTTAGGATGGTTGGAAGAGATTTTTTTACCCTATTTTGGAACCCAAAACATTGCTTCTATTGTTTATCTTTATGTCCAAATCTAACTTGCTATGATAGACATTTGTTTGAACTAGCCAATTTTGGTTTTCTCCTATCTTTTGATTTGCCTGCTTGATCTAAAGCAGGAACAATATCCTTTTTTTTACTGGTGCGTTTTAACAACACTTCACTCCTACTGAGTGCTGTTGCTGACAAATTTTTTTTTTTTCTTTTTACCCACTTAAAATCATTTTTGTAGATTTAGCATGATAACTCTTGATTTCATTGGCCGCTGTTTTGCAGATTGTTGGTTATCAACTCCCCATGTGAAGGACTGGTATGAAACTATAATTACATTAATTTTTTTTAACAGTGTATTATTGTATTATTGGACCTTTCTGATCCAACAATTTAATTCTTATATATAGTTGAGAGGAGTACATGCTGACGGGTGTTTTTAGCTTTACACCATTTTTTCTCTTCTGCCAACGATTGTAGTGTTATAGGTTTGTTTTTAGTTCCCCTAACAGTATAGACATCTTAGTTCCTAGTTGTGTTTTAGGAGCCTTGCATGTGGCAACTATGTCCGCTAGATTTCCCTTCCTTTACATTCAATAGCTCTTAGATCTTTGAATTTGATACAAAGCCTTTCAAAGATGACATTTATTTCTTGTTCATATCAAACAATTTCATGAAGATTTCTTCTTAAGGGTACTATCACCATAATCATCATCATTGTTTATCCCAACAATTTGGGATTAATTTTATGAATTCTCATTCTCTATTCATCCCCGGTGTGTGGTGCTCGTGGTGTTTAGGGGTGTAAACGAGCCGAACACGAGCGAGCCTAGGCTTA